GAGGCTCAAGGCCCGCAATCGGTGCCCGGTTGGCTCCTCACATTATTGGTCGTGTGCCGGTTCCAGTCAGCGGAAACCTGCGACCTCACCCCCGTCGAATGAGGCACCTCCCGGGATGCTTTTGCTGGGCTGGCTATCTCGCTCGCCGTTGCCTAGATAGGCCGTTGGGGGACGGAGTGAGCTGATGATCGCTATGCCTTATGGGCTTCGGCCCATGAACACGTGGACAACTGATACTCAAACATCAGCGTCAGTGTATCGTGATATCCATCCTGCGTACTGCATGTGCCATTCGGCATCTGCGCCTGCCATGAGAATCAAAGACCCGAAAGACTGCATGCCGCTGTGCCGAAGGCGAGGCACATGCACGGTCAGCGAGGGAATTCCTCAGATGGAGTGTTACAATGAGCAAACGTGGCACCGGAAAGAACATTCATCATGATTGAAGAAGATAAAATCTCAAAGCGGCACGCCTCTTCGGTGCCGTCATTCCTTGAGGGTCACCCGGACCCTTCCGCTCCGCTCAGACAGGCTGACGACGACGCGGTCGTCGGCGCTACTCAGCTCGTCCTCGACGTGCCCGTCGCTCGAGCCCGTCGCGCCCTCCAGGATCCACGCCGTCTCGTCGGACACGATCTGCGCGACGCCCTGCCAGTAGTTGCCCTGGCTGGAGTGCCGGCTCTGCACCATGAACACCAGCACCACCGCCAGGCCGCACGCCATGTTGAGCGCCACGACGCCGAAGACGATGAGCAGGCCGCGGAAGCCCCGGGGCGCCAGCACCCGCACCGACGGCGTCAGCGCCGCGCCCTCGGCGACGTCGAACTGGGGCATCGCCTCCTGGATGATGGACCCCGACAGCGCCGTCAGCGCCGACTGCATCGCGACGCCCGGGCGGTTGGTCGCGCCGAGGACGTCGGCGAAGATGGCCTGGTACTCGACGTGAGGCTTGACGTCGGATATGCCGCTGCTCTGGGGGTCCATGAAGATGGAGATGTTGTTGGTGCGCGGGGAGTTGTACAGGTCGTTGATGAGCTTGTTTGTGAGGTACTGCGTCGCGTTGAGGCGGCGCGGGTTCCCGGTGGTCGACGAGACGGAAAAGATGCCGCGGCCCGTCGCGTTCGTGCCGTGAGGCCCGACGCCCATGAGCCGCTGCACCTCTGTGGTGTTCCACGTCATCGCCTCGGCGTTCCACGAGACCTGTGCCCCGTCCAGGTCCCTCTCGCTCGAGAGCTCGGCTTCGGCGTAGTTGAAGGCCAGCTGTTGGAAGCAGATCGACATGTCTAGCCTCAGCACCCCCTTTTCGATCCTCTCCCCCCCTGGCGCGCGCCCGCCTATTGCTCGCTCCCATGTGACCCATTCCCCGTCGGTTGCCGAGGTGTTGCCGAGTCCAAAGTCTCCCCTGAGGAAGAGGCCGCCGGGCCCTCTCCACAGGTCGTGCGTGCCGTTGTTCCTGAAGAAGAGGAACACCTGGGAGTAGGCGGTCACGGGCTCGTCGGAGATGGTATAGTTCTGCGCGCTGGGCCGCGCGTTGGTGCCGTTCGGGACGCACAGGCTGTCCGCGAAGCCCTGTCTCGCCTGCGCCTGGGCGAGCTGGAACTGCGGTATGGAGCAGTTGAAGCTCGAAGGAAAGCAGCTCCCGTCTTCGCAGTTTGGCGGCAGCGGCATGCGCGCTTCGCGGAACATGCTGCTATAGGACAAGTTGCCACTCACTTGTAGGAAAAAGGGCACCGTGTCCGAGAACGGCGGAGGCATGCGGACCGAGAGGGCAGCGGAGACGGAAGGACGCATGCATACGAAACGTGATTCGAAGCCGTAGGTGCCGCCGGCGTACTGGCGTAGTGTGGACAGTTTCGCGCTCGGAACGGGGAGAAAGGTTCTACGGACAGCCTTGGTATCGCTGACACCGAGCTGGTTCGGCTGCGCGTCCGCTGCCGGGGACCCCTCGCCGAAAGGCACGTAGGCTAACGGCCGGAGAGGCCAATTGTTCATTTGACGGTTCAGCGAGATTACTTCTGAACTCATGTGTGTTTTAAGAGTCTCATTCGCTGCGTCCCCAATGATGGAGGAGACAGCCAGGTCGGAAACCAGGAACGTTGAAGAGAACTGAATCGTAACGGTGGTGAGGAGCAGCAGCATGACCAGCCCGGCCTGTAGGTAGGACTTCCATGCGGATGTGACGAGTAGCCATGCCAACCTCAGGGGCCCGTCGTTGGTGCATCGGATAATGGACATCTCAGCGACTCGGGAGAGAGGAACCCCGTGTCTCTCCAGGACAACACCTGCGATGAGACTGGTGTAGATGGACGCTTGTGCGGTGATGGCAAGACGTAGGAGGACCGTCAACAAGGTGATGGCCTGCGTGACATACTGGCTGAGCATGATCCATCTCCAAAGGACTGCCGCGCTTCTTCCGTCGTCGGGGCCTTCGCCCGCCCATAGGAAGAGGAGGAATCCCAGGATGCCGAGTACCAATGCCGTTCCGCCCCCGACCGTCAGCAGGCCGAGACGTCCGAGGCCATGCTGGAGGCGATCGACGTAGCTTCGCGAACGGGCCTTCTCGATGTCGATTTCCGGTTTTATCGCGGGTTTTGACGACTTGAAAATGGTCATTCTCGGAAGCTGAGCGAGGCTGCGAAGCCGGATCACTGGGGAATGATGGGACGCAAAAGCAACACGCGGCAACGGGGGGTTTGTCGGCTGCGGCACGGCAAAGACATGATAATACGTCCGACTGCCCGGACGCGTTAATGAGACAACAGCTCAATGGCGCATCGTTGTTACTTAAGGTTAAAAGAAACTCTTCTCCAGGTCACCGTGGGTTCGCAGTGAGATCTCCAATCCCGCGCCCCTCGACGAGGTTTTTTGGTCTGCTAAGCCCGCTAAGACGTGCATATTCCCAAACGCCGTCCCCGCAGGTGAAGCTACGGTGGTATCGCGACCTTTGACAAATCCCGCCCTTTGCTCCCCCGAGTCAAGCTGGAGCCTTGTCACCTTCGGCTCCGGGCCCTCGGTGCCCGTTGGGGGCACCTGTCGACTCGAGTTTGCCATGCCCGGCAACGTCATCCGGTGCCTTTGCCAGCGCGCTGAGGGGTGCGATGCATGAATCCAGGCGGGAAGATGCACGATCCCGCGCGAAGGGGGTATCGGGCGGACAGTGCACGAGAAGCGAGACAGGGATCCTCCGGCGGACGGCGTCGCAGAAACCAAACGCCATGTCCTGGATGCTTGCAAAGGTCGAACGCCATAGGTCTTGGTCCATCATTTGTTATCGAGAGGGGTTTGCGACTAATGTGGCCGTGCCGACGAGTGATGACTAGTAGGTAGCTCGCGGAGCTGCGTTGCAGGCTCATACATCTTGACCGATAACGATCCCCCTCCCCCACCCACCACATGGCTCGTGCAAGTGGGAAAACGAAAACAAGTTTACATTATTCCCAACACCCTGGAGGTGTGGCCCATTCTGGAATTGCTAGGCGATTGACGCAAGGATATCGTGGCTAGATGAGCCTCCCAGAACATGCACAGGAAGGACATGCGAAGTCACGAAATATATCAGAAGCACACTCTAAACTTGAGGCAGGCATCCTTGAGTTGCGGGGGCCATCAACATGGAGAAAATACAGGGTTAATTAACATGCAACTGATACCTTTGTATTTGACAAATTGGACTGTAAGTTCTCGACTAGTCAATTCCCAAGGCCAATAACTCATCCAATTATATGCCTAGCTGAGACGCCCGTAACTATCCAAAGTTGACTCGATTCACAGCCACGACTCATTAATTCAAGGAAGGGAAGAAGCAGCATGCTCTCGAGCCCCCCCCACTAAAGGCCTACAAGCGGCTTGGGGGCCCTCCAAAGCGTATCAAAGTCGTCGCCCCATCCCCTCAGGCATCGGCGTGGACAGCTTCCGTTCTGCTTCTTGAAACCCCCTCACCGGTCATGAACTCTTCCGTGAAGGCCTCTCTGGGAGCAAAGTGCTGATTGTCGAGCGGCAATATTATCCCTATAAAGTAAAGCCCAAAGCGCCGGCACAGCGCCGGCACGTTGTCCGCCGTCCCAGACAAGATGCACGCGACGGGGTAAGTATCTATCGTTGGGCCAGTTTGTAAAATAGAGGAGACAGCAGAGATATCTCCCAACGCCTCGCGTAGCTTGATGGCTAGGTAGAAGTAGAACGCTTTAAAGTCTTCCAAGTCCAAGGCTGCCTCACTGTGACCATCAGAGCGGTAGTACTCGGCATCGCTCAGAAGATCAGTAGAGTCACCGTTATACAGCAACTCATTACCAGGGATTATATGGGATCAAGATAGAGGTCTTCAATGCTAGGCCAGTGCATTTGAGACATATCTGCTAGACAGAAAACGCTACGGGGTGCAGAACCTAGATAACCGGTGGCTGTAGGCTTTTGGGTGTAGGAACATAGAGACTGCACTCTCCAAAGAACGCAGGCCTGTTCCTGGTTGTCGTTCGTTTATATTTTTAGGTTTCTTTTCGAAAGCTCTCTCAAGGGTCTGTTTTTCTCGGGTGGACCTCAAACTGAGATAGGCTTAGGAGCCAAGACTCTATGAGAGCGTTCCCTAGGACCTGTTTGACTTAAAGTCTTTCTGTCTAGAATAAACGTCATTCGGTATTATAACGCACGTAAAGAGACGGTGGTTTTAAAGCGCTAGGGCATTCCTTCTTGGGCGAGACACAGCAAATGTTAGCGATACTTGCGACGGCTTCACGATATAACTCTTAGGAAATGTCATAGATTTGACCATACACACTGAATGAAGAGCGCTATTGTCTCAAATTGTTTCACCTAGAGTCACCAGATGCAAAAACAAATCCTTGGTCCAGTCTTCTTATTATCACTTTAAGCCTATTATTTAGTAACGTCCTAGCAAACCAAGCAAAAAAACAATGCTCGGATCGTGAGGAAAATGAGACAAGGATTTGATTAGCTAAAGCCTGGTTAAACGGTCATTGGAACAAAAATAAAAGCAAAAGATGAGGTCGTACCCGGGTTCGAACCGGGGTTACCAGAAATCATCGTGGAGCGATCAAAATCTGGAGTGATAACCACTACACTATACAACCTGCCGTCCAACGACCTGTGGGTCCTGTTGTGTGATTAGCGGTCAACTACATTTGGTTCATCAAGGATATCCCGAGCAAAAGCTGATGATTCCCCAACCCGCCAACCCCAATGACACTAATAATCACATCGTCAGACCGTAAGTAAACTCCAGAAGATAACAATGTCAGATTTGGTAAGTGTGCTCCTTCAGAGTGGGTTACATCAGCTACCGAGCTGTCTTGGCACTTGTCCTGATGCAAGACTTTAGCTACAACAAGTAGCGGTCTGCCAGACTGCCCGCTTGGTGATCCCTGACTTGGCGGGCAACGCTATATGAACGTGGAATTGGATACAACCTCATAAGGTTTCTACTACCTGCTCTCCGCGCGCTCCGAAATGACACAATGTAGGGCCGTAGGCAACCGGCTTCTTCCACGACAAAAAAATGCGAGCTTCATAAGGATCAAGGGTCGCAACGACAATCGACATATGGTATAAGGAGTGTTCTCGCTGCCACTGTCGAGGGACCCTGGATAAGCTCCATCCCACCCATGCCGGCTCCAGGCCTCAGTCTTTCACTACGTTGACGCTACTCTGACCATGTGCCGCCTTTCCAGTATCGCTGTCATCGCGATCGTGGCGCTTATTGCGTTGGCCCATGCCCAAGATCTGGAGGCTTGTCTCGACTCAGCCGGCCTCATCACGTCTTTTCCCGGTACCAACGCCTCGTTCCCCGACGACATTCTTTCATGGCAACGCCGCATCACCCCCACCCCGGCCGGCGTCGCTTGGCCAAGGACCGCCGACGAGGTCGCCGCCGCCCTCGCTTGTGCCCGGGAGGCCAAAGTCCTCGTCGCCGCCCGTGATGGAGGTCACTGCTATGGCTCCTACAGTCTGCCCAATGCCGGCCTCACCATCAACATGACCAACTTCCAGGAGGTCAGCTACGACGAGTCGACTGGCCTCCTCACCTACGGCGGCGGTGCCCTTGTGAGCCCTGTCGTTAGCTGGCTCTGGAAAACCCACGGCGCCCGGTTCCCCCACGTCCGCGCCAACATGGTCGGCCTCATTGGGTCCTCCATCGGCGGCGGGTTCGGCTCGCTGTCCCGCATGCTCGGGACCCCGATGGATTTTCTCCAAGGCGCGACTTACATGCTTTACAACGGCACTGTCGTGAATGCATCCCGCACGGAGAACCCCGATCTCTTCTGGGCTCTCCAGGGCGCCGGCAGCTCGTATGGGATCATACTGAGCCTGACCACCAAGACCTGGAAGCCGACGTACCAGCAGGCCATCAACTACACCATCGCCCTCGCCGACAGCTCCCCCGGCGCCGGCGTTGATGCCCTCCTCGCCATCCAGGACCACTACCTCGCCGGCAGGTGGCCCGATGAGCTGACCATGCGCTGGTCGCTCACTGCCCCGCCCTACACCGGCTCCGGCTTCTACTGGGGCAACCCCGACGACTTTGACGCGCTGCTCGAGCCCCTCGTCGCCGAGCTCCCGGACGGCACCCAGCTCACCCGCACCGTCCAAGACTTCTGGGCCGTCGAGAACGTCGCCACCCCGTCCATCGACGTCCCCGTTGACGCCTACCCTCCCCGCAACTTCTACCTCCAGGCCCTCGTCCTTCGCGAGGACCAGCCCTTCACCAGGGCGTCCGCCACCGCTCTCTACGAGTTCACCACCCTGGCCTTCAACCGCACCGACCTCACAAAGTTCGGCTTCATCGACCTCTGGGGCGGGAAACCCGCCAGGGCCCTCGCGGACGAGGACACCGCCTTTGCCCACGCCAGAAGCCTGTGGATCGTCCGCTGGGAGGGCCGCCTCGCGGCCGGCCTCGCCGAGTTCCCCGCCGACGGCCTCGCCTACCTGCAGGACGGCCTCGAGCCCTTCAGGGCGCAGCTGGCGGCCGAGGGCGTGCCCCTGCGCGGCTTTGTCAACTATCGCGACACCGCCCTCACCGTCGACCAATGGAGCGGGCGGTTGTACGGTGACAACTACGCCAAGCTCCAGCAGCTCAAGACTGTGTACGACCCCGAGGGCATGTTCACCGCTCACCCCCAGAGCATTCCTCTCCCTGGCCAGCAGCCTCCTGCTGCCGTCAACTAACGTAGATGTTGCTATTTTCAAGGCTTCTAAAGATAAGGAACTATGTGTAATTCAACGAGAGAACTTCTTGCAGAACTTTCCGGAAACATATAATTGGGCCTCAAAGAAGAAGCCGTCTCTAAAAAATGATTATCAGCGTATTAATACGAAGTCTCATCGATACCCGAGAACTCTTGCGAAAGATTCCATAATGTCATGAATGTCTACGCTGCTGATGGTACAGTCGCATCACCAGCTGCTGTGCCGCAACGGACGAGTCGTGTAATACGCCCGTGTCATCTGTTATGAGGCCTGCCCTATGGCCTTAGATTCTGTCCAAATGCATGATGAAGCCAGTCACATTGAGGTGGATGATGACGGTTAGCTTGAGAGCTGTCCCAGGGTTGCTGCCCGAATTACCAAAGATTTGATACGATGTCTGGCAAACCCTTCGAGTTGATCGGTCGAAGGATTAACATGTCTCTTTGCAATCGGTTCCGATCCCCATTATCCGAGCGTTTCCTTTCTAGCCGTCTCGAGTGCCCCCGTTACGGCCCTGGATCGTTCTGATGGGAAAGAAGACACGCTGGCGAATATCGCGAAAGATGATCCATACGGGAGAGGGTTCTCATGTTTTCACCATTAAGATACTAGATAAACGGGGCTGACCCAAACTATCGATATGTTTTGGAGACAACGTCAAGCGACTGAAAACTGTCCCTGCATTCGGCCAATATCTACGGTTGCGTCTGGACCACGACCGACCGGAGCATTCATTCAAACGAACCATTTCCCATCTCCCTTGAGCTTCTTGATCGACCGGCTCCAGTGACCAGAGTCGAACTTCCACGCCCAGACCTCCTGGCTGGCGTCGTAGCTGGCCTTCTGGCGAGATTCAAATTCGCCGAGGCCGGCGACACGCATCAACGACCTCCATGGCTGGTTGTCGTCGCCCGTCTCGATCCTGAACACCTCGCAGCCGAGGTTTGTCCGGGCGTGCTCGACCAATGCCTCGAGCGCCTCGAGGGCGTAGCCCTTGCGCCAGCGCCTGTAGTCTATGCCGATGCCGAGGTCCGTCATGCGCCTCTCCCCCGGCGGAAGGGTCGTCGTCCCCGGGAGGAGGAACCCGGCGGGGTCGACGGGCTCAAAGGTGTTGTAGCCGCCGTTGCCGATCAGCTCGTTCGTGTCTCGGAGGACGATGACGATCCAGCCGTTCTCGCCCTTTGCCGTAAAGTCGGCGAACTTGTCGATACGCGTGCGGATCCTTTCCATCGTCAGGTCCTTCTCGGGCTCCTGGAACGGGAAGTTGCCGGGCGTTGTGAGGTAATTTAGATAGGCCTCGGCATCTGACTGGATCGCTGTGCGAATGATCAGTCTCGGAGTAATGATCTCGAGAGCGGTTCGTGTAGGGTCTTGTGATGCCATTGTGAGAGGGCTGTATGCGACAAGACGGGATGGCTTGACTTCAAATCAAGATCCGTGGCCGGGCTAAAGGGGTGGATAAGATGATAACGGTTCTAGCGGTGGTCTCAATCGATCTTAAAGGACGCAGAGTTTGGATCCCATCTGGAGGACCCCGAGCACCATTTTATATCTGTTGGAACGAGAGACCAGTCGATTGTCTGTCGACGAGTCTAGCATCCCTGCCAGCGCCCTCTACTAACGTACCTTTCTACGTTACCAAGGCGGTCCGTCCCTCTTAGTACACTCGAGGCAACGAACGACCTTCATGCGTTGACTGCATACGATTACACAGTGCGGGGCGACCTGCCCGATATAGAAAGGCATTGAGTCACTAGTGGAGACTACATGCTGCGGCTTATCAACCCCATTTCACACCCGTTCAAAACACTGTTGGTGAGCTACAAACACTGAACCGACTCTGGTCTTTGTTCTCAGCCATTGTTGGTTTTATACATTTTTTTCTGACTTTCAAATCCTTCATGCTGACTCTGCTCTCGAATCACTGAGCCTCTTTGTTCCATCTCACTTCCCTTGAGACGTGCTTTTCTTGCCACCTGCATGATATTACAGAGCTGACTGCGAGACTTCTTACTGCCACGTGCTGTTGTAAACCTTCTCCTGGTTGATTTGGAAGGCACGCAGAGCTTCGATATTGATACATGTGTGCTCCAAGCCCCAACCGGTCACTGTGGATGCCAGGTGGCCGTGGTTCTCCGGGTCCTCCAGCGGGGACGCTCCCTCGATACCAAACGATGATCCGCAAGAGATGGCCTGTCGCAGATATTCGAAACAATGATCCATGTGAACGTCCCACGAGGCTTCAGAGTAGCCGGGACTTGCGGGTGTGACGCCCTTGACCTGCCAGTAATGGAAGCGAATGATGTTCTACACGAAGGGGTCGTTAGCAGATCGCTTGAGCACATTGTTCTTCGACGGGCGGGTCTATACACACCAAGCAGTGCAGCTCGTGCAGAATGGTCACGACGTAAAACGCCGGAGGGCCGTTCCCGACCTTGTTTGGGTGTTCGAAGGGGGGGTATGTGCCCTTGGGCAAGTCGTACTTCTCAGCATCCGGGATGTAAAGGGCATCGTGGGCGGCGACAAGATGATCCCAGTTGTGGTGGGTTGCGTTTGAGGGCCCAATGTACCGGTCGTCCGGCACAAACGTCTTGGAGACGCGCTCAAAGACCTGGGGAGGGAGCGGTGTCTTGTGAGGTCTCTGCCAAAGACGGCCCTCGACAGGTGAGGATGAGGGGGAGGGATGAAGTGAGGGTGCGAAGACGGGAATCAGCCAGCCAGAGGCAATGAGCAGCAGGATAACATCCCAGACCCAGTGTCTCGCGTTTGCAGGAACCCTTTCAGCATGGGGCTCTGAATCCAGGAAGGACTCCAATTCCGAGTTTGAGCCGTTGCGCTCTGCGTCGTATGTCGTCTCCTTGGCCATGGCTGGTCAGCAAGATGGAGA